TCTCTCTTTCTCCCTCTCTGTCTTTCCTTCTCTCTTGTGTAACTCTGACTTTCAAGTAAATAAATAAATCTTTAAAAAAAGAGTTTAAGGAAAGCTACAATCCAAATCCATACATGTGCAATTCACAAATATAAATTTTTCTGAGTTTGCCATGTCATTCCAAAACTCACTTGATACTTGTTGTATCTCAGAATTTAATTTAAAACCTGACCAATTCTGGATTTGGGAAAGGTAAAACAAACGTATGTCAATCCAAAATAGCTAAATAAATGGTCCCAAGTTAATTTATATATCATAGTACTCCCATTCTATGCTACACAGGTGAACTTTTCATGAGTATGAATCTAATCAAAGTAAAAGTACTGATATTGTCGTTTGTTACTATAGCAGTAACTTAGGTGACTAGCAGACATGGGTCCCAGCTTGTGATATCTTCTGTCAGGTCTCATCCAGGAAACAGTTATCATTCTTGCCAATGCTGTAGCCTCCATATTTTAGAAAGTAGTCAAGAACTAATATTTTCTAAGGTTCTTACTCTGCGTCCATACAAATGCCTCCATAGAATTCAACTTGAGTGGAACAAAAATGCATGTTAATTTTTGCTAACTTGTGTTTGAGATATATATATATATATATATATATATACACATATATATACACTGTGTCCCACAATTATAAATACAGCTAACTACTTACAGATTATATTAACTATTCACTCCTCTGATGAATCTCATTTAATAGGCAAATGAAATATATATGGATATATGGGGCCAGTGCTGTGGTAATACAGGTTAAGCTGCCGTTTGTAGTGCTTGCATCCTATATGGGCATTGATTTGATTCCTGCTGTTTCACTTCCAACCCAGCTCCCTGCTAATGCACCTGAGAAAGCAGTGTAAGATGGCCCAAGTGCTTCGGCCCCACAACCACATAGCAGACCTGAAAGAAGTTCTTTGCTCCTGGCTTCAGTCTGTCCCAGCTCCAACCATTGTGGCCATTTGGGGAGTGAACCAGCAGATGGAAGATCTCTCTCTCCCTCTCTGTCTCTCCCTCTCTTTCTGTAACTCTGCCTTTCAAACAAAATAAGATAAATCTTAAAAAATACATACACACATATATTTGTATGGGACAAACATTTTAAAATATTTGTGTAACTATATTTGAATATCATTGATTTCCTTTGTAATACTATGTATTTTATTATATGCACTTAAAAGTATTATTCTTAGAAGAAAAACTCAGACTGCCATAGACAACCATAGTTTTGAAAAATGAAAAAGAAACAAAGCCCTGAATCAAAGGTGAAAACATTGACTATAAGGTGACAAAAGTCTTTAGTACCTGATTCTGGTAACTCCAAACAGTGGAAAGTTAGCCTTTCAAATAAATCTGTCATAATTTATTTACTTCTAATATATATTTGATTTATTAGTTTTTTACTTATAATTACTACTGATCATGAGGAATTGGAGCTATCAGACATGGATTTGTCTTGAGCAGCAAATAAAGTCTCTAATTGCCTATAGCCATTATATCATTAAATGGCAATTTCAGAATTTCAAAAAGTAGCGGTAAGATTCTTATAGAGTTTTCAGAGATGAAATAGTTGCATTATTTCTGTTTTGCTAATGCAAGTTACACCTCACTCTTGGCCTCAAATCATTTTCTTGACAAAGCTGTTTTCTCATTGTTTTCATCACTGCATAAAACAGGAAGAAAAATGCCATGGTAGGATTTTTAATCATGTCAGGAAAAAATATCTTAGAACTCTTTAACTTTTTTCACTTCCAAGAAGATAAAGATCCTTTGTTTGGGGCAATAGACTTGTTTTACTACTCTTCCCAATGCTGAAAAACAAAAAGAAAATAGAGTTGAGGAAGAGGCAATGGGGAGGGGAAAAAGGAAAGATCCCAGAACTTGGAGAGTTGGCATGAGAAAGTAATGTTTAAGACAGAGAGAAAGAAACTGGAGCTACTGCTATGGGAGTTTGGGAAGAGATGCGTAGAAAGAAGCTTTTGAGGCAATTTTATTATGTGTAGACAAATGTAATCCCTTTTGGCCACCTCCTCAAGAAAATTTCAAGTCAATATCATTTTGCTTTTAAAAGAATTTGCACAGATTTTGGGTAAGCCTAAGGCAGGAGAAAGAAGATCTACTTGTATTCAAGTTCAAGGCTCCTGCCATCCGCATATGTGCACGCGCATGCATCCAAAGCATTTGAAAAGACTTTGATGGACCACATCCATCATCTCACTGAATTTCCTTTACATATTGAATCTCAGTCTTTTCCCTCTTGCTTCTATTTTGCAACTCCAGTTAGTTCTTGACAGCACTGTCATAATCTTGTTATTGATGTGCAAACACAACATGGTACAATTAAGCCTTCCTTTCCCTGGAGCTAGTTTCTCTTTCAGAATTATTGACTATTTACACAGATTATCAGTCATACTATTCATTTTCTGAAATTTTTTTTTATTTGACAGGTAGAGTTATAGACAGTGAGAGAGAGACAGAGAGAAAGGTCTTCCCTCTGTTGGTTCACTCCTCAAATGGCCACTATGGCTGGCGCTGCGCCAATCCAAAGCCAGGAGCCAGGTGTTTCTTCCCGGTCTCCCATGCGAGTGCAGGGGCCCAAGCACTTGGGCCATCCTCCACTGACCTGGGCCACAGCAGAGAGCTGGACTGGAAGAAGAGCAGCAGGGACTAGAACCCGGTGCCCATATGGGATGCCGGTGCTGCAAGCAGAGGATTAACCAAGTGAGCCACTGCACTGGCCCCATCATTTTCTGAATTTCTTAAGAATAGTATCTGCCTGTCAAAACAAAACAAAGAAAGAAAGAAAAAATAAATAAAAAGAATAAAAAAGAATAGTATCTCAGGACTTTCTTTACCTCTCCTCATGCCCTCACCTCCATCCAAATCCATTATTAAACATTTAAGTTTTGAGAACTAATGTGATTGGATACTGACTGAGGTGCTGGAGACACAGTGGAAAAAAGACATGTAGGCTCCTAGATCATAGTTGACCAAAACCATAGCAGGATTTTCCTTTGGAATCTTTCCCACCTCAACAATAATTCAGACAATGATTTACCTGTGTCTAGGTAACTGTTTTTGTCCATCCCCAGTTCTGAAACATGATTCATCCCTTGTAATCAATCTTATAAATTTCCACACTGTCTCTACTAAGTTTAAATCTTCCTGTTCTTTGCTTAAAGCCATAATATGATACTACATCATCTGTAGTAGAGAATCCATTTTAAATTTGCCTAGCATTCAAGTCTACTTAAGTCCAGTCCTAACATTACTGGTTAAGTCTGCCTCTTTCATGTGTGCATTGACAGAAACTCTTCATCACACTGTCAGTGTCATGCCTTGTGATATTATTTTGCCAGACATTGGCTCCTTAGCATGGAACTTTTTCTTTACCACATTTATGTTAATGGAAAACTTAATTTACTGTATGAAAACAACTGTGTAATCATATTTAGAAAATACAGTGTTTCACACACTCATTTAAATATTTCATTCAACATCTCTTTTGATATTGATAGAGCTATGGTAAGAAGGGGATGGCTTTAGCTTGGCCAATGTACAGATGAAGAAGCTGTGTCAAAATAAGGTACTAAAGGAGATGACAAGCGAAAGGGAACTTAACTGGAAATTTGAATCCTTCCTCTTTTTCTACTATGCCATGTTTATAACCAACTAGAACCTACACAGAGAAGTTCAGAATTCCAGCAACTTAACAAATGGCAAATGGCTCCATCTAATGGAAATATGCCTTCTCCCTAGGGTAGATGACTTGGTCAACGAGGATTCTATGAGACATAAATGACTTGTCCGAGGATTCACTGTATCTCCTTGAAAAGCACAGAGCTATTTAGCTTTCCTTTCATCTTCGTTTCTCTGCCTAGGTGAAAACTATTGTTGATTTAACACCCTCAGACTTCTTTTAATTCACAGATTGATCTAGACAATGTTAAACTAGACTTGCCAGACTCAGGTTATGTATTCAGACTCAAAGTGAACCCCTGGGACTCCTCAGAACAGTTGGTGTCAACTGGAATATGATGAAATCTTGAAAGAACTGAATGGGTTATAAAAACATTGCAGCTAGGCCACAGCAGAAGATGTAGCAAACTATTTTCTAAAAAAAAAACTATTTTCTAAAATAAAAAAAGAAGAAAAGTAAAGGAAGAGAAATTTTTCCGGGTACACTACCAAAAATTTATGCTTGTCTTGTATAACTCTTCCGATGGAAAAATATCTCTACATAGTCAGCAATACAGTTGCCCTAGCTCAGCTTTTTAGAAGTCAGTTTTCTTATTTTTATATTCTTATATTAACATGTATATTTGTACACTTTAAGTATATAATGGATATGGCTACTTTTTTGCCAAAATTGCACAGAGAATGAATATTTCCCAATTGCAGTTCCATAGAATAACTCATTTGGTTTTGAAATATATGTCTTTTGTTGGAATAAATGAGAAGTATCATTTACTTTTACATATTAGTATAAAATTTTATATTTTGAATACTAAATATCCAAGTAGCACAAGCTATGAAATGGAGACAAAAACTATTTATTGTGTTCTTGCTACATACCTAGATATTTACAAACATGTCATTTTATTTCACAATAAACTTAAAAGTAGGTCATTGGTTTACATTTTAGAAATAAGAAACTGGAGATTTGGAGATATTATGTAAAATATCCAAGGATTGTCAATTAGGAAGTGGCAGAACTTGAGTTAAAGGTGCTGTTTCATGCAAATCCGGTACATGCTTTTCTTAGCACAGTACGTGACACATGTAAGTGATCTGCAGATTGCCACCAAATAGAAATTTTTGATAAGAGGAATTTTTTTCTGATATGTAAAGAAATAACAGAAGTGAAAATAAACTTGAAAGAAGTACACACCTATGTTGGCAACTTTTAAGAATATGTTTATTTACTGAGTTGTGTAAACATTGTGCTCTTTCTGCTTTCATTAGAAAACACTTGCCAGTGAAAGGAGTGAAGTTAGATTTGATAAGCCTCGAAGATTATGGTTACTTCTTCAACCAGCAGAGATACTGAAGGTAGCTCTGAAACAGGACGTGGAAATGAGTAGAGGCTTTCCAAAGAGATTCGCCCACTCAGTGATGGGAGAAGAATGGCAACCCCAGTAAAGACCTGAGCCATTCTCTTTGGCCTGGTTGAATGCTGGCATCTAGCAGTCAATCATTATGTCAGCAAAAGAAGCACTGTGGACAACTGGATTGTTCTGATTGAAACTTGTGTCAGCTTATCCACTTGCCACTTCATAGCTTTAGTTTCTGCCTATGTATTTCTAACCTTATTATCATCCATAGAAGATCTGTTTATTTCTAAAACAGTTCTTTGATATGCTTTAAATTCACCATCAGATTTTTCTTCTGACTGATATTTGAATTCCATGGAGAAAGAGGCTATAGGACCACACAAAGTCAAAATATTTTGCCTGAGTTAGTATTAAACAACTGCTGTTTGTTGCTTAATAGAGTGATAACGTGCCATGCTCTGGAGTCTGACACATCCCAGTTCTGTCATCTGCTAACTGTATAAGTTACGGCAATCCACTTAACATTTATATGACTCAGCTTTCTCACCTATGAAATGGGATTCAACCAGAAATAATAATATCCAGATGATCACCACAGTGTTTTTACTAGGATTACATACTGTATTACTTATAAAATGTTCAACAGTGTTTATCAAATGATAAGCACTGATGAATGTTAAATTATTATTAATTCACAACAATTTATCCCTTAGGATATTTGAATATTCAAGAGTTCTTCAGACAAAGGACATACAGAAATCTGCTTTGAAAGTCAGCTGGTGCCTCTGCGGGAAGGTGAGACTGTTGTCCTTCCTGCCTCCTACTCAGTAAGCCTGGTGGGTATGTATTTCTCAGCTTCATTCATCCCCCACTGAAATTGGCCCACAAGAGTAAGGAAGGATATTCACCAATTTCATTTCAGATAAAATTTAACTGAGTAGCACAAACGCTGACAAACTGGAAGTGGGCTAAGGACTCAACATACTAATATAGCCACAAGCTCCTTATGTCAGAGAAGGGGCAATGAATATATTCAAGGACAGGTAGTTCTAGTCTCTTGATTTGTTTCCTATATATTTTAAAATGAGGTGAAATCCCCCACAACAATATACTCTCAAGAGGTGAAAGTGTAGGGTTAAAATAGAAGGGCGCAACATTCAGAAAATTCAGGCATTATTATGTTGGAAGTCAGAAATGTGTGCATCTGAAGAAAATAGAAGATACAGACTTTATGACATTGGAGCAGGTAGACAGCAGAATAGCAGACACAAGCAAGAGTTCAAGGAAATGAAAATGAAGTGGCGATGCAGCAATATTTAGCCCGGAGACTTCTAATTACCTTAATAAATTACTAAGGTAGGTCAGCTATTTCTGAATCCTTCAGTTTAAGAGAGGTTTACTATGATTTATGTGCATTCCTCCACAAACACTGGCTTATTTATTGGTTTTCATGGAGAAAAAGATAACTTCTGGAATAATTTTTAAAGGGCTGTATTTGATGTGAGGAAGGATGTGAAAGGAAAGATAGGAAAGAAGAACAGATAAGAGAAAAAGAACATGGAAGTGAGGTAATAAAGTATGGACAAGTCAGAGACAACTCAAAAATGGAAAAAGAGTGGTATGAATAAACTGGTTCAAGAAAAGAGAAGAAATCAAGTAAATGATAGGAAAAAGGAAACACCAAAAGGCTACCACAGAATTAATACCTAAAGCATTAGCAATTATTAAAAGATGATCTCAATAATGAGTCAGGAGAATAATAATGCCAAACCAAGAACAGATTCAAATAATTGTTCCGTAAAATTTTGATGAAATCCTACTATGATTTATCCTGAATGCCTTTATGGAAGGGCCCCTATCTGGTACTTCTGTGTCCACTGTGCCATCTAAGCAACTTGTGTTCCACAGGTACTTGTGGATGGTAAATTAACTAAGCATTGATTATATTCTTACTGCTAGCATATCCTGTGCTTGTTGTTAAGGATATAAAGATAAATTTGCTTTGGATCCTGATCTCAAAAGGGTTATCAGCCTAGTTAAAAAGAAATATATTACAAACATCCAATGCTGACTTGAAATATAAACAAAAAGGGGCCGGCACTGTGGCACAGTGAGTTAACGCCCTGGCCTAAAGCACCGGCATCCCATATGGGCATGAGTCCCAGCTGCTCCACTTCCAATCCAGCTCTCTACTTTGGCCTGGGAAAGCAGTAGAAGATGGCCCAACTCCTTGGGTCCCTGCACCCGCGTGGGAGACCCGGAAGAAACTCCTGGCTGCTGGCTTCAGATCGGCACAGCTCCGGCCAATGCAGCCAATTGGGGAGTGAACCATCAGATGGAAGATTCTCTCTCTCTGCCTCTCCTCTCTCTGTGTAACTCTGACTTTCAAATAAATAAATAAATCTTAAAAATATATATATATATAAACAAAAAAATAGCCAAGAGTACCATGTAGTGTTACAGGAGGACTGAAAGTTTTGATGTGGATTAAAGATGAACTTTAAAGTGAAAAATGAAATTTTAATACCCATTTGATATTGTTAACCAGAGATATCCTTCTCTATATTGATGCCAATCCTTAATTTAGATTGTTTTCTCATAATCACAAATGTTATTCCTCACATAATTGGACAATAAGAAATACGATGTAGAGTTGGCTTTTCAAAAGTGACAGCTGAGGCAAAAGCCAGTTTAACAACTAAAATAATCTTGTGGGCTCTTCAGTCTGGAAATGTGGTCAGAAAAGCACTGTAGTCTAATCTTTATCATCTGTTTTATTATAGTATCTCATTTCAAGATATAACTCAGAGAAAGATCAGTTATAGAATCCTATAACTTATTTGTATATGTAAATTCAACTCTACCTTCCATTTAGCTTCATCTCTAAAAGCAGTAATCAAACTCCACAAATCTTATCTTGGACTGGGATAAGACCCAGAAAAGGGCCAGCACTCTGGTATAGTGAGTAAAGCCACCTGCTGGGCTGACATTACATATGGGCACTGGTTTGAGACCCGACTGCCCCACTTTGGGTCCAGCTCCCTGCTAATGAGCCTGGGAAAGCAGTGGGAGACAGCCCAGGTGTTTGCGCCCCTGCACCCACATGGGGAACCTGGATGAAGCTCCTGGCTCTGGGTTTGGGTCTGGCCGAGCTCAGCCCTGGATGTTGTGACTATGTGGGGAATGAACCAGCAGATGGAAGATACCTCTCTCTCTCTCTCTGCCTCTGCCTCTGCCTCTCCTTTTTCTGTAACTTTGACTTTCAAATAAATAAATAAATCTTTAAAAAGACCTAGAAACAAAATGCATGAAGTGAGATTATCTAGTTTAAGCAATTATAAAGTGGCCTCTTAAATAATCCAAGTTCTAGCAAGTCCTAGAATAGAATTTCTGCCCTAAGAGTGCAACAAAAGGGTAGGAACTTGGTACAGCAGTTATAACTCCACATCTCATATCAGACTAGCTCATAGCTGGCTGCTGCAGGCACTTTGGGAGTGAACCAGCAGATGAGGAAATCTTTCTTTCTCTGTTTCTCTGCATTTCAAATAAATAAAATATATATATATATATATATATATATATATATATATACTTAAAAAGTGCAGTAAATAAAAAAGAATAAGCTGCCAGAGTCCTCCAACACAGTATGGTTTCTAACTCTTCCTCAGAATTGTGACTGTAGCTTTCCATCAGTCTTGTCTAACTCACCAGATGGGTTTGAATGAATGCCCTTACAAAGTCCTTATGTGAGCTGGCAAACAGAAATCAATGACTGCGTTTTGCTTTATCCAGACCAGCCCTTGATGAGGGGCCCAAAGTCTGGTTTTCAGTGCTGAAATATTTTCATCTAACAAATATTTCCCCATTGAGATCTGTAGCTTTCTTCCCTCCCTCCTGTCTCTCTTTAAGGATAAAACAAAAGATATTTAAGCTTAGTTCTCCTAAGAATACAATTTTTCAAATGAGTACAAACTGTAAAACAGGTACTAAATCAAAGAGACTGGAGACTATCAGCACTTTGGGAAAGACTGAAACTTTTGGGTATTTAAAGCTATGCACAAATAGACTTGTATGTTTTTTTTTTTTACAGACAGTGAGAGGTAGAGGCAGAGAGAGAGGTCTTCCATCCGCTGGTTCACTCTCCAGACGGCTGCAACGGCCGGAGCTGTGCTGATCCAAAGCCAGGAGCTTCTTTCAGGTGTCCCACATGAATGCAGGAGCCCACAGACTTGGACCATCTTTCCCAGGCCATAGCGGAGAGCTCACTCATTTCTGTTCTCTCCAGGATTACGCTCCAGCGCTGCCTGCTGCCAGTTGTCTGACGATTGTTCTCCGTATTTTGTCTGTGATCTAGTTGTTTCCAGCAGTACGTAACTCTGCCCCAGTAACAGGTCGTCCCTGAAGCAGAAGTCGTGGGGCGGAGGCTGCAGAGCTAGGTGGGTGTGAAAGAGGAAGAGCAGAGGCCATGAGCTTGGGGACTCGGCAAGGACAGAGGACTGGAAGCAGCAAGAGATCTGGGCTAAGATGTAGACGTACTGGGCTGTGACTTCCTTTATAGAATGAGCTCTGCACTTTCGCCTCCGTAATTTTTTTTTTTTTTTTTTTGGACAGGCAGAGTGGACAGTGAGAGAGAGACAGAGAGAAAGGTCTTCCTTTGCCGTTGGTTCACCCTCCAATGGCCGCCGCGGCCGGTGCACTGCGGCTGGCGCACCACGCTGATCCAATGGCAGGAGCCAGGTACTTATCCTGGTCTCCCATGGGGTGCAGGGCCCAAGCACTTGGGCTATCCTCACTGCACTCCCGGGCCACAGCAGAGAGCTGGCCTGGAAGAGGGGCAACCAGGACAGAATCCGGCACCCCGACCGGGACTAGAACCCGGTGTGCCGGCGCTGCAAGGTGTTAGCCTAGTGAGCTGCGGCGCCGGCCCCATATGTTCTTGAATATATGGAATACTATTTCAAAAATTTCAGGGAAAATGAAATTAAAGGTACTTCTTTTTTTTAGATTGCCAAAATTTTTGGGAATCCTAGGATAGTGTTGTCATGATACACATTTTCTATGAACTTTGGGAGGACCCCATCCTCGTCGTGTGTGTGTGTGTGTGTGTGTGTGTGTGTGTGCATTTTTTCTCCTTTGTTTACCCTCTGTCTCTAGTATTGTGTTTCTACATAAAGCAGATGGCAAGTCCTTCCTCAGAGAAAAAAAGAAATCAATGTGACCAATTCCTGGCACTGTTGGATGGTTCTGTCTTTTGGACTGTGGCCGTTTCCCACCTGAAACTGAGTTCTGCGCAATGCAGGGCACCAGCATTTCAAAAAGAAATCTTTCCGTTCTATCTGTGTAGGGCAAGCCACCTGGGTTGTGGAACGGCCCATCTGTTCACGTTGGCAGTCTCCCTGAGAGGCAGGGATGGCTACCGCTAAATTGAATGTTTCACACAGCCTCCATGGTCACGGAGAAGGGTAGCACCAAATGGCCCTCCCATGCTGGGGCCCATCCATGTGAGAACCTCAGTGCCGTGGTAGCAAGCAAACATGGCAGATGTCCTCAACAGGAAGGAACAAGCAGCATATTTGTGCACCGTGCTTCTGTTCACACTCCGCTGTGAGGGGCTGGGGCAAGCAAATATAAACAGAGGGGCTGAGCGGGGAGCAGGGATGCAGGAAAGCCCAGTGTTCTGGATATTAATATGTTTTACCATGCAGTTAATAATTTTACTAAGTATTTACTCTACTGAATATTAATATATTTACTGCGTTTTACTATGTATTTAGTTCTAACATCTGAAGCGAGAGTGTCCTTCACTGGCTCGGATCAGAAATTCGAAAATCTACCTGGGTCAGGAGGTAAGGTTATTCCTCCCCTGTCCCTGTTTCTTAAGATTTTTTCCATTCAGATAAGGACATACTACAGGTGCGCGGTGGAGTTTTCTCAGGAAGGGGGAAGGCCTTGCCTTACAGGGTAGCTCAGCGACTCTGAACTCATCTGCAATTCATCCCAATCCCCAGGCTCAGTATTAGGCGGCGTTTGAGAACAGAAATGTAAGGTCACTTGTGACCTTACATTCATTTGAAATCTGTCTTTTTAGCTCTTAGGGCAGATGTTTCTTTGAGTATTTGCTTCTGACTTTAGATAGGCATAAAAAGAAAGTGGCCTACACAATCTCATTGCCAGAGCAGGAAGGAAGGGAAATGCACAGAGCATACACATATTTGTTCTTCAAGGAATAATCCTAAATTTTCAGACATGTGGATCCTTATAAAGTTCATGGAAAATATATTTTGTATATATATAATATATATTGTATATAAATACATATTATATTTCTATATATTTATAAATATATATATATATAAAATAAGGAGGCAGTGTTGTGGTAAAGTGGGTAAAGCCACTGCCTGAGACGCCAGCAATCCCATAGGTGACCATTTCGAGTCCCAGCTGCTTCAGTTTTGATCCAGCTCCCTCTAATGTGCCTGGGAAAGCAGTGGAACACAGCCCAAGTGTTTGGGCCCCTGCACCCACATGGGAGACCCGGAAGAAGCTCCTCCCCTGGCTTCAGCCTGTCCCTGCCTAGCCACTGCAGCCACTTTGGGAGTGAACCAGCAGATGGAAGATCTATTTCCCTCTGTCTGTCCCTCTCTCTGTAACTCTGCCTTTCAAATGAATAAATAAATCTTATATATATATATATATATAAAATACACATATATATATATAAAAATGTAGGAATTTGCACCAACATAAGTTCATCTTTTAATTCCCTTTTTCCATGACCTTTTTGAAAGACCCATGTGCCTTTTCTCTTGTTTTCCTAGAGAAACAGTCCTAGGAATGTTTTACAAGCTTTTTTATACAAATGAGAAATCAGAGTCAGAGGGGCTCCTACACATACCTACAGGAGTTCATTTCCCACGTGCTAAGTTTGACAAAGATCCCGTTTTTGATCAAATAAACGTTAGCCAGACTCCTTTGAGTCTTCTTCTCAACCTCTGGCCTCTAAAGACTTGGGGACACACTAACACAGTTCTGACAACTCAAGGCCACATCCTTAAAGTGACTCTGCCCTCCCTCCCAATTTGTTCCAGTCAACGCCCGAGGATGCAGGGGCCTGTGTGTTCCAGTCTCCGTCAAGGGGATAACGCCTAGCTCTGAGCACTGGCTGATCCCAGACATAGCTGTCCTAATTGCATTTGTACTCACTAACCTTTGGTGATTTTTCAATTCCTGACTCTACGGAGCCCCCTCGGGCTACTCCTTCATTCTGCCTTTTAAATCACCCGCCCACCTTTGTACATATGAAGGCAGTGTTCAGTTCATGCTGAGTTCTTCTCTCTATTGCAGTTGTGATTACTAATTAACATCTGTTCTTACCACCATAGTGCCAGCTTTGTATTTCCTTGACAAGCAATGAGATACCAGTTCATATAGAAAGTATAAAATTGTTCCTTATTTTCCCTTGGCCCATGAAAGCACTAATAAGCTTATAATCTCTTGAAGTAAGATATTACCACTGTTTATAAAACTCTGTAACACAGACATGAACTTGGCATCTCTCCACCATGGTAATCACCAGCTCTTAAAATACTGCCTGGAGCATACTTGTCCGGTAAATGCTTGTTGGGAAGGGTAATCCATGTTTTTCCCAATTTTTCTTTTCTAGCGTGGACAAAAGTCAGCTTTTACTCGGTAGCCTTAGGAAATAGGATTAGATTAATATATTCACTCCTATATACACAGGTATTTCTGGGTTCCCTGAGTTACGGAGTATATTAGCTACTTACAGTCTTTCTTCTGTAAGTAACCCACTAGTAAATACTAGGAGTATGTAAGAAGCAAATATTTCATTATTTAGTTCTTTATATGCCAGAACTTACTTTACTTCACACAGAGCAGATCCACATTCTCTGTTGGAATCTCTTCTCTTCCTGTGTTGTCAAATGGTACATTTCTTATCTGTGTGTATTTTATGTATTTTCATAAAAATGCTTTTTAAAGACTTTCATTGATGCACAGTGGAGGCCTCCATAAAATGTGCTACCTCATATTATTATTATATTTTTGACAGGCAGAGTTAGACAGTGAGAGAGAGACAGAGAGAAAGGTCTTCCCTCTGTTGGTTCACCCCCCCAAATGGCCACTATGGCTGGCGAGCTGCACCGATCTGAAGCCAGGAGCCAGATGAGTTGCGCCAATCTGAAGCCAGGAGCCAGGTGCTTCTCCTGGTCTCCCATGCGGGTGCAGGGCCCAAGGACCTGGGCCATCCTCCACTGCCTTCCTGGGCCACAGCAGAGAGCTGGACTGAAAGTGGAGCAACCTGGACAGAATCCGGCACCCCAACCGAGACTAGAACCTGGGGTGCCGGTGCCGCAGGCAGAGGATTAGCCAAGTGAGCCGTGGCACCGGCCAACTACCTCATATTATTAAAAAGGGATGCAGTTCTTGCAAGACAAAAATTTTTTAACAAGGCTGAAACTTGTGGTTTATTTAAAAAAATGCCAATCAGACTTTACCTATAAAAAAAAGAAAAATACCATGTCTCAATTTAAAACATCTTAGAATATTGTCACTCTATTATTGAGGAGGAAACAGCAGGCTCAAAACCCAGTTGCCTTTCAAGCACCTTCTCATTAGTTTCCTTGATACCTCCATTTGATCTGGGAGGATTGTACTACTTCCCACACGCATGGGAATTTCTCATTGCCTTTCAGAGTGTGTTGTCATTTCAGTGGCGTTCCAGAGGCAGAAATAGACAATGCTGCTGAGAGAAAATGGTGATGTTTCCTGACAACATTCTAGATAGAAGTCAATTTATAGACATTACAGATTATGTGTTTGGTAGACAAAATTCATTGCATATTAGGTTCACATATGCATTTCTGACATGTGCATTTTGATCAGGTGGGAAATTCCAGTGTACACAACTGTATCACTTCAGTGTTGACAATAGGGGCTGGCATGGTGGCTTGGTGAATAAAGCCACTACCTGCAATGCTGGCATCCCATTGGTCAGCAGTTGGAGTCCTGGCTGCGCCACTTCTGATCTAGCTCCCTGCTAATGTGCCTGGCAAAGCAGCGGAGAATGGCCCGAGTTCTTGGGACTCCGCACCCACATGGGAGACCTGGAAGAATTTCCAGGCTCCTGGTTTTGGATCAGCTCAACCCTGGCCAGCAGTTGCAAACATTTGGAGAATGAACCAGCAGATGGAAGATCTCTCTCTCTCTCTCTTTCCCTCTCTCTCTCTCTGCCTCTGACTCTCTGTTACTCTGCTTTACAAATAAATAAATAAATAAATCTTTTAAAAAAAAGTGTTGACAATATAAGTATGTGTATATCTAAGACCACAATATCTCCTGAGTATATCCATTATATTTAGTACCTAGTTGAAAGCATGTTTATAAAGTTTTTAAGGGATAAATAGCCATGTATTATCAGAGTAAAATTCATTAGGAGGAATAAAGGAGTTCAATTTGTGTCTCTTTGTGTGGAAACGGATTGCTTCTCTATTATTAATTGCTTTTCTGAATAACTTTGAAGATTACAGGCTGAGTTCCATTCAACCTTCAATTGATTGTGAACGGTTCAAAGTCTTGATGTGAGTTATTTATGTTAGGGAAGACAGACTCCTATAAATAGTTCTGTTTTTATCAATGAAGGTGAAAATGCAGAATCAAAATGATACACTCACTCACATCTAATCCTCATTTATCCTTAACCAACAAAACACATGGCTGTACTTTGGTACATGGAGCTAAACCTTAACAATGTGTGTAGTGGATGCTGTAGTGTGTCACCCAGATCCCCTTCTTCAGAATCAAGACTCTCATCACCTTCCAGGAGTCATGACTGTGACCATAGATAGATCTCCCTCTGCAAACAAAAGTTGCTACAACCAAGGCAGGGATGACGACAGTCAAGATTGGGTGAGGGCTGGCACAAGGCCTGGCTCTCTTGAAAAACTTTATTGCTACTGTATTGAGTTCAGCTTCCTCTGTATCCTTCATGCTCCCCCCTGCATTCTTTTTTTTTTTATTATTTGAAAGGCAGATTTACAGAGAAGCGGAAAGAGAGAGATTTTCCATCTGCTGGTTCACTCACCACATGACCACAATGGCCGGAGCTGAGCCAATTTGAAGTCAGGAACCAGGAACTTCTTCAGGGTCTCCCACGTGAGTGCAGGTGCCCAACTAATTGGGCCATCTTCCGCTGCTTTCCCAGGTGCATTAGCAGGGAGCTGGGTCAGAAGTGGAGCAGTCAGGACTTGAACTGGTGCCCATAACGAAGGCTGACACTGCAGATGGAGGCTTAACTTTCTATGCCGCAATGCCAGCACCAACGGTGGTATGATTTTTAAAAAGCAACTTACTGGGATTATTACCTGTGTAGATATCAAATATAATTCACAATCTGATCCAGGATGTCGCTCCCCGTCTTCGTGGAGGAACGACACAGGACCCTGCGCTGTTCTTTCGTCTGCTCAGCCCTCCCCGGGTTTGCTGCTGGTTCTTCCCGGGTTGGCTGCCGACCCTTCCACCTCCGTGGAAGGGCGGTTCCCCCTGCCACATTCCCCACTTCCGCGGGGGAGCGGCACACCACCGGCCGGCTCTCTCGGGGGCTGCACAGGTGTTCCCCTTTGATGTTCCTGGTGCATGCCGTCTCTCTCCTCCTTTATAGTCCTCCTCCGCCAATCCTAACTCGGCTGCCCACACGCCGAGTACGCTGCTCTCCTCCAATCAGGAGCAGGTCCTGCAGCTTGTCAAGTTGGTGAGAGGCAGCTGTGTAGAAGCTGTTTTCTCCTCTCCCAGCGCCATATTGTGGGAGAGCAGATGCATAGAATAAGTCTTAATTCCAGTAACTTAGTCTAGTCCGGGTTGCTCCCCACACAGGAGAACCCTTTCCCATCTCTATCTTTACAGGGGAGAATGTTCTGAAGTTAAAAGTTCCTCATTGTATCTTGCCAGCCTAGCCTGATAAGGGAAAGACAAAGGATTTTTGTTTATCTTTACAGGCAGTTTTTCCATTCTCCAGGAGTGTTCAGCTCAGATATAAAGAGGTCCTTCCACTGCAAAAATGGAAATAAACTTTGGTCTGTCTTTGTTGTAATGAGAGCATACAGTACATATATCAAGCAGTTTGAAAAAAAATGCTGAGTCTTTGCTTATTTTCTGCTTCAGTAATCTTTATTGAACAACAATCCTGTTCTACACAAATAATGTTTGTTTTATTTGGGGGGCTCTGCAATCCTTTATCAAAAATTTATTGTGTACCTGGTCTCATCTCGACTTTCTACAGCCATTTATGAGAGTAGACCAGCTCCAGGGATTAGAGGCTGCAAAGGCACATTGAACACAATGCTAATATTTAGAGGTTTTCTGTAATGCAGAATAAATATTCTAGGGCCCATTTCTCCAGACTCTTTTCTTAGATGAAAAAAATCTTAGCTAATACAAGCTTATGAAACGAATGCTTCAAATTCCTTCCTATGTTCAATAATACTATGATAACAGAAAGTCTAAGAGAAAAAGAGGTGTTCTCACAGCTTTCCCATAAGCAGGATTGTCAAGTGGGTCTGCTAAAACAACTGAGACTACATACCCATCCCATTTATGTCTATAACTGCTATCGGTTTAAATACTGATCAATAAGTGTCTCGGGTGGGCACTGTGGTGCAGTGGGTTAAGCCACTCCATAGAACACTTGCATCCGTATCTGAGTGCCAGTTCAAGTCCTGCTTGCTCAGCTTCTAATCCAACTTCCTGATAATGTACCTGGGGAGCCCTCAGAAGATGTTCCAAGTCCATGAGTCCCTGCTACCCACATGAGAGACCTGGCTAAAATTTTTGGCTCCTGTATTAAGCATGGCCTGGCTGTTGGGGTTACTGGGGAACAAACCAAGAGATGAAGATTCCACTCTGTTTCTCTCTCTCTCTCTCTCTCTCTCTCTCTCTCTCTCTCTCTCTCTCTCTTTTCCTCCTCCTCCTCCCCCTCCTCCTCTTTTCAAATAAAGAAATAAATCTTTAAAAATAATCATATATAGAAGAGACCCAAGCATACTGTTCCTACCCACTTCCACTGAGTTATCTATAACTGTGTCTGTAATGATTCTAATGAAAGCTAAAACTGAAAACCTGCCCAACAATCACTCAGTTATACTAGGTGCTTCACAAACTACATCAGGTCAGTTCCAAAGCTTTGCAAGCATAGCAGTGAACCAAAGGGAAAAAATGCAAATGCAAATGGCACCAACTTATCAGAAACAATTTTTTTGGAGGGAGGAGGGGGGAAATTACTAGAAGCCTTTTTTTTTTCCTGAGAAGGAATTCTGATATGATGAAAAACAAATTTTCTGAGGGCAAAGATTCTACCAGAGACATACTGTAGCCACAAAAAAGAGAAGTATTTCTTACAGTAATCACTGACTCCAAGAATAAAAGTTCTTTCTACCAAACACTATGACAGCTTGCCCTCACAGTGAAGCTTTCCAAAGACCTAGACAACAAGAAATTAAAAGAAATTCACTACTCCAAGAAGACACAGATTTAAACTATTTTTCAGTTATTGTTCCAAACATTTGAATGAGTATGTCATGCTATTATTTTGCTCTTTTTTTTAAGATTTTATTTATTTGACACACAGAGTTACAGGCAGTGTGAGAGAGAGAGACAGAGAGAAAGGTCTCCCTTCTGTTGAATCACTCCCCAAGTGGCTGCAATGGCCAGAGCTGCGCTGATCCGAAGCCAGGAGCCAGGTGCTTCCTCCTGGTCTCCCATGCGGGTGCAGGGACCCAAGCACTTGGGCCATCCTCCACTGCCCTCCTGGGCCACAGCAGAGAGCTGGACTGAAAGAAGAGCAACCAGGAATAGAACCAGCGCCCATATGGGATGCCGACGCCATAGGTGGAGGTTTAACCTAGTGCGCCATGGTGCCGGCCCCTGCTCTCTTTATATATGCCATATACATCATTGTAAAAAAGTGATTCAAGCAAAAATGTCAAAAAGGGGTATGAAATCACTGTATTCCCATAAAATAGTATTTTTCAGTAAGAATTTTTCAATTTTTTTAATTCCATAAAAAATTAGATAACTGCCCAGACATTATGCTTAATAAGCACCATGAAGTCTCTTTTCCTCCAAATTTCAATTTCTGGTACTTTTATGATTTCTTAAATATAAGAAGAACAGCATTTATTTAAGAAGATCTAAAGAGTACATAGGAAAACAATTGTGGCAGGTGTTGTGCAGCAGATTAAGCTGCTGCTCAGAATGCATTTCAGAGTGCCTAGGATCATATTCCACTTCCACTCCAATTCAGCTTTCTGGTAATATTTCTGGCATATGGCAGATGATGGACAAGTAGTTGGGTTTCTGCCTTGCAGATTGACTGCTGGCTTCAGACTGGCCTATCCTTGGCTGTTGTGGACATTTGGGAAGTAAACTAGCTGATGGAAAATCTCTCTCCATTACTTTACCTTTCAAATGAATGAGTGAAGGAATTTATGAATAAACAAATAAAATGAAAACATATCTTTTGAGCTGTTAAATTATGTGCAGGAATTAGAACAAGGACCATTTAAAAAGATTTTTTTAAATTTATTTGAGAAGTAGAGCTGCAGACAGAGAGAAGAAGAGACAGAGAGAAAGGTCCTCCATCAGCTGGTTCACTCCCAAGATGGCTGTACCAGTCAGAGCGGGGCCGATCCAAAGCCAGGAGCCACGAGCTTCTTCTGGGTCTCCCATGTGGGTTCAGAGGCCCAAGCACTTGGGCCATCTGCTACTACTTTACTAGGCCATAGCACAGAGCTGGATCAAAAGAGGAGCAGCCGAGACTTGAATTAGCACCCATGTGGGATGCTGGCACCATAGATAGTGACTTTACCCATTTTGCCATAGCTCACGTCCCAGAAAAATATCTTTTCAAAATTATTTATAAAAGGGGAACCCATTCCATGTATTTCTTTTTTTTTATTTTTATTTTTGACAGGCAGAGTGGACAGTGAGAGAGACAGAGAGAAAGGTCTTCCTTTGCCGTTGGTTCACCCTCCAATGGCCGCCATAGCCTGTGCACTGCGGCCAGCGCACCGCGCTGATCTGATGGCAGGAACCAGGTACTTCTCCTGGTCTCCCATGGGGTGCAGGGCCCAAGGACCTGGGCCATCCTCCACTGCACTCCCTGGCCACAGCAGAGAGCTGGCCTGGAAGAGGGGCAACCAGGACAGAATCCGGCGCCCCGACTGGGACTAGAACCCGGTGTGCCGGCGCCACAAGGCGGAGGATTAGCCTAGTGAGCCGCAGCGCCGGCCGCATGTATTTCATATGTACAGATTTAACAGCATGATACCATTCAACCCTTACTCCCCCCCCCCCTTCTCCTTCCTTATTTTTATTTAGTTCTTACAAGGAAATATTTTCAATTTATTTTATTATCACAAGGTTAACCCTGCGCTAAATAAACAATTTAACAGGTAGTATGTAGAAAAACCACTGTTCCTCGAGAATATAGACAAGGGCTATAAATAGTCAAATCTCAAAATGCCAATTTCACTCATATACCTTTTGTGTACTGTATATATTAGTCACCACAAATCAGGGAAAACATGATTTTTATGCTTAGTGAAATAAGTCAGTCCCAGAAAATTGTGTTTACTTAGAGAACCTCAGAGTTGGAAAGGACTTCAAAGGTTATCTAGTTTAGCTCTGTTCAACAGATTCATCAGATTCAATGAGAATGATTAAATCTTTTGGTTTAATTCCACATTATTGATTAAATCCAGAATAGTCAGCTGGAACTACACAAAAACTCCAAATCTTTTTTTTTTTTTTTTTTTTTTTTTTTACTAAGAGGGATAATGTATTAAGTTGTTCATTAACAGTCAGGGCTATGCTGATCAAGTCACCGTTTCCCATAGTGTCCATTTCACTTCAACAGGTTTCCTTTTTGGTGTTCAGTCAGTTGTCACCGATCAGGGAGAACATATGGTATTTGTCCCTTTGGGACTGGCTTATTTCACTCAGCATGATGTGTTCCAGATTCCTCCATTTTGTTGCAAATGACTGGATTTCGTTGTTTCTTACTGCGGTATAGTATTCTAAAGAGTACATATCCCATAATTTCTTTATCCAGTCTACCGTTGATGGGCATTTAGGTCGGTTCCAGGTCTTCGCTATTGTGAATTGAGCTGCAATAAACATTAGGGTGCAGACCGCTTTTTTGTTTGCCAATTTAAATTCCTTTGGGTAAATTCCAAGGAGTGGGATGGCTGGGTCGAAGGGTAGGGTTATCTTCAGGTTCCTGAGGAATCTCCAGACTGACTTCCATAGTGGCTTGACCAGTTTGCATTCCCACCAACAGTGGGTTAGTGTCCCTTTTTCCCCACATCCTCGCCAGCATCTGTTGTTGGTAGATTTCTGCATGTGAGCCATTCTAACCGGGGTGAGGTGAAACCTCATTGTGGTTTTGATTTGCATTTCCCTGATTGCTAATGACCTTGAACATTTTTTCATGTGCCTGTTGGCCATTTGGATTTCCTCTTTTGAAAAATGTCTATTGAGGTCCTTGGCCCATCTCTTAAGTGGGTTGTTGGTTTTGTTTTTGTGGAGTTTCTTGATCTCTTTGTAGATTCTGGTTATTAACCCTTTATCTGTTGCATAGTTTGCAAATATTTTTTCCCCATTCTGTCGGTTGTCTCTTCACTCTCCTGACTGTTTCTTTTGCAGTACAGAAACTTCTCAATTTGATGCAATCCCAATAGTTGATTTTGGCTTTGACTGCCTGTGCCTCCCGAGCCAGCATCACCTTAATTCCTAAGTCGGAAAAAGATGCAGCACTGAAAAACTCCAAATCTTAATGACTTAAAAGGACTTACTCTCTTGTGTGGTTCTCTGCTTTTTTGTGGCTCACCTTGGCAATTCTAGTTTGGTTTGATATGGTTTTCTTTCAAAGGCTAACCAATGATGGAGTTATCTAAAAGGCTAACTGTCTATTGGCTGGGAGTTCAATGAGGCCATCAATTACAGAAATTGCATAGTGTCGCTAAATGGGTCATAGGTTTCTACAGCACGATGTTTGAGTTTCAAGAATGACAGACTCATAAGCAAGTTTTCCAAGAGATAGAAGGCAGAAGTTTCAAGGCATCATAATATTTGACATGGGAAGTTCTAAGATATGTTTGAGCAAGTCACTAAGTCTATCCTACATCCAAGCAAATGGCATATATCTTTTTTTGTTGTTGTTGACAAGCAGAGTTGGAGAGAGAGAGACAGTGAGAAAGGTCTTCCTTCCGTTGGTTCACCTCCCAAATGGTGGCTACGGCTGGAGCTGTGCCAATCCAAAGCCAGGAGCCAGGTGCTTCCTCCTGATCTCCCATGTGGTGCAGGGCCCAAGCACTTGGGCCATCCTCCATTGCCTTCCTGGGCCACAGCAGAGAGCTGGACTGGAAGAGGAGCAACCGGGACAGAATCCTGTGCCGCGACCAGGATTAGAACCCAGTGTGCCAGCGCCACAGGTGGATGATTAGCCTAGTGAGCCGCGGTGCTGGGCAACATATATCTTTTCCCACACCTTTTAGTAGGAAGCCATCTCTGGACAATGTTTCCCAAAGCATCATTCCTTTGTTTGTAATTAGATCAAGTGAGGTCTTACTTGGCAGTCGTGCTGCCTTTCCCCTCATCTTTTTATCTCTTCTTGTATGCATAAAGGTAATGTTTTGGGGTAGGAAATGATGGCCCCAGGGTAATTTTGTTTCTGCTGTGTCAATCCTGGGCCGAAGCAATAATTTGGTATTAAACACAGTAGACTGAATCGTCACTGAATCTCACAGAATCTACTAAATTCTGCCATCCAAACAGCTAAACTAAATTGTCTTTAAAATCCTTTCCGTATCTAATATTCTGTAAGATAAGATGACTTTCTGTATAAATATCTACCTTCATATAGGAACACTAGGTAATTATATGCATTTTCCTGATTGAACAACAACAACAAAAAAACTTCCCATTATCAGAGTGCCATCTCTTCTTGGCAATTAATTAGCTAATGGTTTAATAGATTTGCCTATAGGAAATCATGTTTAAAATAAAGAAGTTGGGAATCTACCTTTCTGGTACTGCTTTCCAATACATGTCTCTGTTTTTGTTACCTTCAACAGTGCCTAGAATGTAGTTACTACTCAGTAAATTCTATTGAATTTTGAATGTTTGAAAAAAATATCTATGTGATGATACAATTGGCACCATCTGAAATAGCACACAGATGTGTTACTGAAATCCCTGGAAAGATAAATATATTCTACTGAATGCTGTTTGCAAGGATAAATGTAACATTCCTACACCACACTTGTAATTAAATTCATAATTTCTATTTTTTATGACATGGAGCCCTATGTAATATTTGCTTATAATCCAGACCCCAAGGAATAAGAGTCCAGAGGTTCAAAATGAATCGGGTAACAAAATAAAACCAAGTATATAATGGATAAACCAGGTCTGTTGTATGAACCCTTCAAAGATCTTTCTAAGATATAATTCAGTTTTATCTCTGGGCAGAAGTGTCACCAACCTCCACTGAGACTGCAGGTCAGCACATGCACAGCCTGCCTCTGCATCTGGAAGGAAACAGATGCAAAGGCAATGCAGTTTGAGCTGGCCAGGTGCCCCAGCTCATGTGCTTCCAAGGTGATTGTGGCTGTTCCAGGTGATGAGTAGCCTAGTGGTTCTGGCTCACGTCCATGTAACCTGGAGGTCCTCATGCTCCAACACTTTCTGAAATAGTGTCTGTAAAACCCTGACACTCCTTCTCCTAATTGCTGATTAAGAAACTGCCAAAGATTCAAATATGAAATTATGATTTCACAAGTCCTTCGATTAGCCTGGGAACAGATGTACTGCTACATTGCCAGGAGCAAAGTATGTTGGCTTTGCTCCAGGCTGTACCCTGGACACATACCAATTTTATTAGGGAAAAGCTTTGTTAACAAAGAAGAATTAGATTAATCTCTTGAGCTAAAAATCTTTTTTTTTTTTTTTTTTGCCTTTTCTATACAAGAAACCCTTGCAACAAATACTGTTTACAAAAGTTTTAGTGAGCTTTTTTGTCATTATATTTTGTTATACATGACTTTCTCATCTCAAGGCATGTATCAACCTCAATGACAGGGCTAAGAGGAGTGCCAAGAAAGGACCACAATAGTTACATTACTCAAGTTAGATTTTGTTTCCTGCTATCTACAAGTAGACTTTAAAGTCCATAGAAAAATAGCAATGGATACTAAGATTTGTCTAAAAAAGTGATTTGTGCTAATTCCTTATCTTTTTCTGTTTCAGAATATAAAAAGAAAATACTTTTCAAGTTGGTCACAGAATAGTTGTCCAAACAGGAAGGAAAAAATGAGGAGAAGCTATTTTTTATTTCTGACAGGTTGAGAAGAAATGAAGAGGTCAAAAAACAAGGAATAATGTTCACCGTTTCCGTGTCCAGGCTAAATCAAGCTCCAATTAGAAAGTGTATAATATGGATAGATGTATAAGTGTATAAGATGGAAACTTCAGAGTGAAGAGTTCTGTTTTTCCCTTCTCAACTGGACGGAAGGAAAAAACCTCTGGAAAGTGATTCCCTATAACCTCATAAGATGATTCTTAAAAATAAAGAAGGAATAACAGCATTGTCAGATTGAGAGGGAGCCTAGATAATACTCTGAAGCCACAAGTGGGTTTGAGCAAGTTGGAGGGAACCACAAGTTCTTGCATGCCTCCTAACTGTTGGAGAGTTTGACAGGCAGCATCTAAGCGGGCCCCAGAGGTCCCCACCTCCTTTCCTATGCACAAGCTTAAGGAATTGCCTCCTTTTGGTTGAGCTACCTTTAACAAATCAAATAGAGGAGACAGGAGGGACTATCATTTCTGTGATTAGGTCTCTAATATGGTGACTGCTGTCTTGCTGGCAGATGCTCTATTGCTCCATCACTTCCGTGCTATCATGGTGACAATGTCCATGAAGCAAAAAAGGGAGGGTAGCTGTAATGGTCTGCTCAGGTTGCCACAATGGAGCTCCACAGACTGGAGGGCTTAAGTAAAAGAAAATTCTTTTCTTCCTGTTTTGGAAACTGAAAGTCTAAGCTCGAGATGCCAGTAGGGTTGTTTCATGCTGGAGCCTCTCTCCTTGGGCAGATAGCCACCATTTTTTTTTTCTTTTCATAGTGCCCTTCCTCAATGTGCATGTGGAGACAGATATCTCATATCTCTTTCCATTCTTTCAAAGACATCAATATTGTTGGATTAGGGCTCTACTTATATGAGATTTAACCATAATTGCCTCCTTTAAAGGACCTATCTCCAAATACAGTTACATTGGGAGTTAGAGTTTCAATATATGAATTCAGGGGGGACACACTTCAGTCCAAAAGAATGGTATCTGGCCAACATCCATGGAAGATCAGAGGCCCTTGGTCCGTTAGTCACTTAGACACTGAATACTGGCAATAATCAATAAGTGAAATTGGAAGTTGATTATTTCCTGGTCAAGTCTTCCAACAAGACCACAGATCTGGGACAACACCTTGGTTGCAGGTTGGTGAGACACACACACACACACACACACACACACACATATATATATAAATCCTTTTATATGGCCGGCGCCGCGGCTCACTAGGCTAATCCTCCACCTTGCGGCACTGGCACACCAGGTTCTAGTCCCGGTTGCCCCTCTTCCAGGCCAGCTCTCTGCTGTGGCCAGGGAGTGCAGTGGAGGATGGCCCAAGTGCTTGGGCCCTGCACCCCATGGGAGACCAGGAGAAGCACCTGGCTCCTGCCATCAGATCAGCGCGGTGCGCCGACCGCAGCGCGCCAGCCGCGGCGGCCATTGGAGGGTGAACCAACGGCAAAGGAAGACCTTTCTCTCTGTCTCTCTCTCTCTCACTGTCCACTCTGCCTGTCAAAAGAAAAATTAAAAAAAAATCCTTTATATAATTCTAATTACTATCCTACTCATTGTTGCAACGGGAATCACAGAAATTGTAAGTAACTTGACTGTAGTCACGTAAGTTCCACAGGAGCATGAATCTAAGGCAGTGAATGTTGAGTACCCTGGCACTTTTTGTTGTACCGTGTTTCCAAAAGAATAATAAAATCCTAGCAAAAATCTGTGGAGGATACTCAGGATACGGCAGTACTGAATGCAAGTCTCTTCTAAAACAGAAAGTTCAGTAACAACAAAATACCTGTTAGTTCAGACTGTTTTCAAATTGGATTGAATCCCTTTCCTATTTTTTCTGTTCATGTCATGACCACATCAGAAAGAGATTATCATTGGGTAATTCACTATGACTTTATTTGATTTATTCTATTTATTTCACAAAGAAGAGAAGTGGGTTTATATTTCCAGTCTCTTATGAACAAAATAGGGTCATCCTCCTCTGCATGGCATTGATTTTATTTTTGTTCACATATTTCTCACACTCCCATTAGCTACAGATGGATTATTAAAGCCTCCTGAAATGTATTAAATTTTTTTTTATTTTTTTTTTATTTTTTATTTTTTTTTTGACAGGCAGAGTGGACAGTGAGAGAGAGAGAGACAGAGAGAAAGGTCTTCCTTTTGCCGTTGGTTCACCCTCCAATGGCCGCCGCGGCAGGCGCGCTGCGGCCTGCACACCGCGCTGATCCGATGGCAGGAGCCAGGAGCCAGGTGCTTTTCCTGGTCTCCCATGGGGTGCAGGGCCCAAGCACCTGGGCCATCCTCCACTGCACTCCCTGGCCACAGCAGAGGGCTGGCCTGGAAGAGGGGCAACCGGGACAGAATCCGGCGCCCCGACCGGGACTAGAACCCGGTGTGCCGGCGCCGCTAGGCGGAGGATTAGCCTAGTGAGCCGCGGCGCCGGCCTTGAAATGTATTAAATTTGAATTGAGAAAGTTTCTTTCTAGGGAGGAAATAAGAAACATAAAATCTTTTTCTTTCACATAATAACTTACAAGTTGTTACTTAAACTGGAATATTAACATTCTATTCCCTTGAACTCTTGCAGAACAAACCTTGCCACAGTGTGCATGCTTCCTGTGACTTCTCACTATGCTCTGTGTGTTGTCTCTGGAAATACACTGGTCAGCTCCTATAAGAGCATCAGTGAACTGTCAGGCCTATCCCACAAAGAATGGCAGGAAGACAAGAAAATTGGATCAGCCAGAAAAACACTACATAAATAATGTCGGAGTCAAATGTGTTGAATACAAGAAGGTAGGAGCAAACAAGGGAAATGATAAACTATCTGAGTGAAGACACTTTCAGATACTGTGTTTCCATTAAGTGCAGAAAATTGCCTGCTAAAATGACTATGAGAGAGGGAGAAAGAGAGAGAGACAGATGAAAGAAATTTGAGGTGTACATTATTTTCCCTGGTCATTTGTTATATACTTCAAAACCTGGTAAATTTCAAGGACATATTGACTATGAATTTAGCCTTTATATCCCTTTGGGGAAGAAAAGGATATTTGACAGAGAAAATGATCAATTATAGTGAATGCAAAGTAAAGTGGCTTCAGCAATTCTTGGGTGCTCTGCTGATTTCTTTCAATCTTTATAGGCCATTTTGCTGTTACACTGGTGATTTTTTTCCCTCTGCATCTTTTCTCTGTTCTTGTTCTTTATTGAGCTTAATTACAGTTATTGTTCATGGGCTGTTGAGTTTAAAAATCATTTGCTGTCTTGTATATGTACCCTGCACTTGATTCATTCACAGCTGTTCATCAGTGCCCTGCTATTCAGACTGGGAAGTGTAATTGCTTATCTTAACAGAGCAAAGGAAGCATTTTCATTTACTCAGGGTCTATAAAGGAAGAATAATAAGATAATTACAATGGCAATGCTTTAGTTCAATTTATTTCAGTTTTCTTTTATGTACCAATATTATGGTATGTTTTTGATGACCCATTTTACTGTGGTCACTAATTCCTGGAAACAACTGAAAGAATGAAGCTACCTGCACATTTTCTATAAAGATGGAGTCAAAGAGTATTGGTCATAGAGAAAGTCATTTTCACATCACTGTCTTAGTAACAGTATCTGTGTGCTGGCTTTACCTTGTAGGCATAATCCAGTAAAAATCGAGCAAAATTTCTCTGTATAAATTTTTGCTGGATACCTGGCATTTTCTTATTTTAACTCTCTATTTGGCATGAAAGCATCATCTTGAAGCAATTTCTTTTAATACACAAGATATTGCCTGGGAGAAGCAACACATTAGCCATCATTAGCATATGAAATTCACTCATGAGATGACAGAATTGCAAGTTAGTCATAAAGTAAACTTCAATCCAAAAGAAGCAATTGAACACTAGCCATTGAGGCAAGGCCCTCCATTGGAGGACCTCCAGCAAGGTTTGGAATGCCATCTTCTTCTGTCTACCATTCTGGTCACCAAACAACCCATCCCTAAATACATGGTCTGGGGATTATTGAAAAGACACATGTACATTTTGTTTTTGCAAAAATATCTGAAAAAGTTTCACAACATAGAAGATTTTCTCCAATAAGTCTTCTTCATTTGAAGGTGAAAAGTCATCAGACATAAAGTTTTTAAATGAAATGATGGCATAGTCAAAGTTCCACTTATTTACAAGTCCAAGAAAGAAAAAGAAAATCTGTAGAAGGAAGCAACTACTGAATGGGACATTTGCCCTGGAGACACGTGCCAGTCCAAGGTGGCCTATACATGAGGAGTTAAAGACTTTCTTGTGACAAAAGTCAGAATCTAAAATATTGAATCAAATGGAAGCTTAGATCAAATAAATATTCTATTTAAAGCCACACAACTAGGACTCAGCAATAAAATAACTTCAGCTTCTTGGGGTTGGAGTGGACTATTTTGAAGAAGGGGAAGGAAATGAGAACACTCGCCTGGTAAATAAAAAAGCACTTCCTGAGAATTTATACTTATTTGCTGGTAAGAAGTTAGTATCCTTACCCCTTGAATGACTCATTTTTACCCAATGAGTGAAATACACTAAATCAGGGTGACCTTGAATAGCAAGACCTTGTGGAATGGGAAGGTGTAAAGGAGAACTGTCCTCAGAGAAAAATATTTTAACCAGGCTTCAACGTGATATCCTAACAAGTGAGGAAGAAATAATCATTTAATGAAAAATTGACAAGTATCAAAAAAGTGAACAAGGTTAACCTAAAGAACACACACAACCAAAGGTCCAAATATTCAATAGTCATTGGTCAAAATTCTATGCATATGCCTTACTACAAATTTCATCAAATTAAACAAAGTGATATCTAAGGACAATTTTCTCTGAGTACAATGCAATACATTCCTAATAAACTTGAAATAAATTCTGAAGAATTGCACATTTGTAAATGAAAAAGTATAAACGATGAAAAAAAGTATAAACGATGAATTCTGATGCTAAAGAATAAATAGCTTTATAAATAAACTATTTAGCACTAAACCATAATTGTTATACTATTTATAAAACTTGTGAGATATAAAGTAAAATCTAAAAGATGGGGCCAGTGTCATGGCATTGTGGGTAAATCCACCACCTGTGACACTGGCATCATCTATAGGTGCCGGTTCATGTCCTGGCTGCTCCACTTCTAAACAATTCCCTGCTAATGGCTTGGGAAAAGCAGTGGAAGGTATCCCAGGTGTTTGGGCTCCTGTCACCACATGGGAGACCTGGACCAAGCTCCTGGCTCCTAGCTTCAGCCTGGCCCAGTCCTGGTCTTTGTGGCCCTCTGGTGAATGAACCAGCTGATGGAATATTTTCTCTCTCTCTCTGTCTCTCTCTATCTCTCTCCCCATCTCTCCCTGTAACTCTGACTTGCAAATAAATAAATAAATATTTTTATATGTTTTATTTATGATAGATGAACAAATTTCATGTATTTCACATGTACAGATTTAGGACCATAGTGGTACTTCACTACCCTTCCTCCTGTTCATGCTACCACCCTCCCTCCTCCTTCCTTTATTTTGCAATCATAAGCTTACCCTCCACTAAGTAAAAAACTCAACAAATAGTAAGAAGAAAACATCACTCTTCCTCGAGTAGAGACTAGTACTATAAGCAATAATCAAATCTCATAATGTGAATATCAGAAATATACATTATATTTGTACTCATTAGTTACCACAGATCAGGATAAATGTATGATGTTTGTCTTTTGGGGACTGGCTTATTTCACTAAGTACAATGGTTTCCATTTGCATCCATTTTGTTGCAAAAGACAGGATTTCATTCTTTTTACAGCTGAGTAGTATTCCATAGTGTATATATACTACATTTTCTTAATTCATTCATAGGTTGATAGACATCTGGGCTGATTCCTTATCTTAGCTATTGTGAATTAAACTATAGTAAACATGGAAGTACAGATAACTCTTCATATGCTGATTTCATTTTGTTTGAGTAAATTCTCAGGAGTGGGATGGTTGGGTTATATGGTAGATCTATTTTCAGATTTCTGAGGAATCTCCATACTCTCCACATTGGCTATATTAGTTTACAAACTAGTAATTTTTTTAAAAGAAATGTACAGGCTTATAAACATTATATTAGATAAAGAAACAGTTTGAAATTAATAAACTAAATATTCAGTTTCAGATGTTAGACAGAAAACAAAAGTAATAATTTCCTCCTGCAGAAGATCAAAATAGAGATAAATCCAAAATAATTTTCATGGGGCTGCCATTTACCCTTGTGATTAAGATGCTGTTCTGTATCTAGGTGCCTGGGTTCAATAGGCAGTCCTGGCTCTCGGTAACATTTCTTGCTAATGCAGACCCTGAGAAGCAGCCGTAATGACTCCAAGTAATGACGCTGCTACCAAGTGGGAGACTTGGGCTGCTTTCCTAGCTCCTGGTGTCTGCCTCCCAGTCCCAGTCCCACATTTTGAGGACATTTGAGGAGTAGATGAGAATCCTCTCTCTGCCTGTCTGCCTGTTTCTCTCTCAAGTAAATAATTTTTAAATTAAATTACATCAGTAGGGAAGTTAAACTAAATAAATACTAATTATTTAAAAATTATTGATAAACTAGCCAATGATTAATTTTAAGTGTAGACATAAAAATATGCAGATTAAATGATACTAATAATATTATGAATACTATGAACCACTTATGCAAATAAACTTGAACATATTTGTTAAATGAACTGAGTTACACAAAAATATAAATTACAAAAAAAACTAGAAAACTTCAATACTTCCGTAAATACAAAACAATTTAATGTTTAGTTAAAGCTATCCCATATAAAGTTGGTTTATTCTTGTGTATGGTAAGAGATGTCAGTTCTAAAACTTGTAAAATTACTAGAAGAAAACATGGGAAAACATGTTAAGACACATTGTAAATAGTCTTTTTAGTTTAATTCCCAGAACCACAGGCAACAAAAGCACAGATAATGAGATTACATCAGGCTAAGGAGCTTCTGTGTAGCAGAGTAAACAATCAACAAACTGAAGAGATAACCTACAGCATAGGATAAAATATTTATAAGCTATTCTTCTGACAAGGCATTCATATTTAGAATACAGAAGGAACTGAACAACTCAGCAACATAAAAGCAAATAATCTGATTTAAAAATAGGCAAATTATCTTAGACATTGCTCAAAAGAAGATATACAAATGGCTAACTAAGGAATGTCAAAATGTTTGATGTAACTAATTATAGTGGCTATTTTTTTTTAAATGAACATCTTCTGGCAAATATATGTAGAAAGGGGCCGGCTCACTAGGCTAATCCTCCGCCTTATGGCGCTGGCACACCGGGTTCTAGTCCTGGTCGGGGCGCCGGATTCTGTCCCGGTTGCCCCTCTTCCAGGCCAGCTCTCTGCTGTGGCCAGGGAGTGCAGTGGAGGATGGCCCAAGTGCTTGGGCCCTGCACCCCATGGGAGACCAGGAGAAGTACCTGGCTCCTGCCATTGGATCAGTGTGGTGTGCAGGCCGCAGCGCTCCGACCGCGGCGGCCATTGGAGGGTGAACCAATGGCAAAAGGAAGACCTTTCTCTCTCTCTCTCTCACTGTCCACTCTGCCTGTCAAAAAATCAAAAAATAAAAAAATTTAAAAAAAGATATGTAGAAAGGACACTCTTATACACTGTTGGGAGGAATTAGTAGCCATTATAGAGCCAAGTATGGCAGTTCCTCCAAAACTTTTTTGGATATATATCGAAAGGAAATGAAATCAGCACACCAGAACTATTCTTGCTCTCCAGTTTTATCAAACACAATTTACAATAAACCAGATATGGAAAGATAAATACTGCATGTTCTTCCTCATATATAGAAGCTAAAAACAACAACAAAACTTTCAATGTCAATACAGAATGATGGCTAGCACGGCCTGGGAGGGATAGAGGGAGTTCAAGTAATGGGTACCAAATCAGAATTTGATGTAAAGAATAAACTCCCATTGTTACAGTGGAGGATACTATGCCCATATCACCATTAGAAAATAATAAGTAACTTGGCAGATTGAAAACCAGAGTTCATGATCATAGTTATCATGCCAGATCAGCTAATTCAACACTTCATGGCATGTAGGGAGGCAGTGGGAAGGGAAAGAATTTGGAAGGTATAGTCATATTACAGATCGACTAAATATCAGTTGAAAATATAGATGACTGATATGGTGGATAATATTACAGTAGTGTTCATGGAATTTGGAGGCTACCTTCAGTTCAGATATTATTTACTATAATTATATATTATCATTTAAATATTATTTATTCATTCAATAAGTATTTATTGTACACTAATATGGATACCGAAGAAAGAGCACAAAATGACATTCTTCACACTTAAGAAATTCAGGAGGAAATATGTGAGTAGTTAGGAAATTATAATATGGCGTAAGATGAAAAGACACTGGATTCACATTGAGAAACTGCTCAGCCTGTCATGGAAATCAGAGAGGTTACACATAAGCTGACAGCTCAAAGAAGATAAAAAATCGATCAGTTAACGAATATAAAGAAGAAATATGAAGAGTGGCATGTTCTAGGCATAGGAAGGAGTATACATGACAAGCCAGATGAAATATTTGGAAAATTTTTAGAAATCTAGAGTGACTATTTATTCAGGAGGGGGAAAATGCAAAACTCAGACCATAGGAAAAGAAGGGTTTGTCATCTGTCTCAACAAGATTAATTCTGAAGATGGTGGGGGATCCTCTGAAGAGTTTTAGGTAGGGTAATGACATATTCTAAGTTTGCATGCAAGAAAGATCCCTCTGTATTATGGATGATTTGAGTCTGTGCTAGACTAGAGGCATAGTGAATTGAAGAAATCTAGATAAGAGACAGTGTTTGTTTAAATTTATTTGACAGGTAGAGTTATAGACGGTGAGGGAGAGAGACAGAGAGAAAGGTCTTCCTTCTGTTGGTTCACTCCCCAAATGGCAGCTACAGCCGGCACTGCGGCGATCTGAAGCCAGGAGCTAGGTGCCTCTTCCGGTCTCCCATGCGGGTGCAGGGGCCCAAGCACTTGGGCCATCCTCCACTGCCCTCCTGGGCCACAGCAGAGAGCTGGACTGGAAGAGAAGCAACCAGGACTAGAACCGGGCACCCATATGGGATGCTGGCGCCACAGGCAGAGGATTAACCAAGTGAGCCACGGCGCCGGCCTTGAGATGGTATTTTAAGGACAAGAAAAATGGAAGGATTCAAGACATATTTTGGAAGGAAAGAACCACCAGAATTTAAAAATAATTGAATATGCAGAGTAAAAGAAGAACTCATAGAAGACTCTGACATTGTAGGTTTTAGGAAATTGTGTAGAGCATGGAAATTTGGTAGAGCTGAGGAATCAAGAGAGTGAGCAAAATTGAGAAAAGATGACATGATGGTTTTAACCAAATGAATTTGAGATATCTGAAGACTCTTAAGCCAGTCCAAGGGCAGATAATGTATTCACCTGGTGTAAATATTTAGGAGCTATCAGAATCCATATAACTTAAGATAAGACATAGGATATAGTGCTTACCTAGGAAACTTGTAAAGTTTGAGAAGAGGAAGAGACAGATCTTTAGACAGTTTCAATATTTTAAAAGTGGACCAAAAAAAAAAAATAGCTCTTCTTACAAAGTAAATCAAAAGGGTATAAACAAACCACCACCACCAACAACAACAATAAATCCAGGAGCTTGTGTGTATGAAAGCCAAAGGATTTGGTGAGCTTGACCAATAAGGGAAATGCTGTACACAAGTTAGACGAGTAATAACAGCTGCTGATCAAAGTTATCAAAAAGGAGGTTAGATGACTTGGATAAAACCCTAAGATCAAGAATAGTAACAAAAGGGATGACCAGACAATATTTAGGCAACAACAACAAAAGTACTGTAGAATTTCACTGACCAGTTCATCATACAGAGTTAAAAAATAAAACAGGATAAACAATCGAAAGAATAACACCTCAGAGATTTGAATCTGAAAGAATGAGAAGACGATAAAAATAGGCACTTTTATCTTCTCTTTAGAAATAGTATTAAGTATGTTTTATACTTTATGATTATTGAAAGACATTCGTAAATTTACTTCAACATACTTTAGAACTGCAGATTTCAGACACAATCTGTAAACTGCTGTACCAGCATTTCAATATATTTCTTTTTCACATTATCCTTTCTCAATACTATGTTTTTGGCAATTCTTTTCATTTTCACTATCTGATCACAAACTTATATTTCCCACTCAACTACTGAGGAAAATCTAATAAAAATTGAATATGTAGTAAGAAAAAGTTAGGCCTCACTTTCAACCTCATTGAGATAGATTTTTTTTCTTAGCTTCCATGAATTACATCAGTGAATCAACCTGGTTTAAGTTCCATGTAACTTCAGGTAGTAATGAGACTGTGGTTTTAGGTGACGGCTCCGAGAGTGAAAATGACTGTGGACTTCTGCAGCAAGGGTGGATTCATAAATTGCTGAGGTAATGTGATCATGGCATATAATTCAGTGCAACATATTCTTTTCAAATGTCTCATAATTAACATTTCTTGTAGAAAATTTAAAAGGACATATTGGCCTACCATCACAATTTTATCATTGGAAACATTTTCTCTGAATTAAAGATTCATGGTATACTTTAAGTCATATCTCCTAGAGCTTACATATAATGTAGAAAACTCTGCCATGAACCATTTGCTGATAGCAATCTCTTTTCTATAATGTTATCATAGAAAATCCCTCACTTGTGGTATATTTCAGCATCTGTTATTAATTTATCATTAGGTTATATTCTCATTTTAGCCATCACATGCGATGACATTAATTAGCCTCCACTAAACAGGGCTTCACAACCTGTACAGTTTGACTCAGGATCTTGCTGTTTTATTAGCAATTCTGACCTTGCCTTCCCAATGGACCTGTTCAATTAAAGGGAATAACCTTATCTTTTCATATACAGTACCCTTATGGTATCTTTTCTTTTCTTTTTTTTTTTAAAGATTTATTTATTTATTTGAAAGACAGAGTTACACAGAGAGAGGAGAGGCAGAGAGAGAGAACGAGGTCCTCCATCAAAGGTTCCCCAGATGGCCGCAATGGCCGGAGTTGTGCCGATCCGAAGGCAGGATCCAGGAGCTTCTTCCGGGTCTCCCGCATGGGTGCAGAGGCCCAAAGACTTGGGCCATCTTCCACTGCTATCCCAGGCCATAGCAGAGAGCTGGATTGGAAGTGGAGCAGCCGGGTCTCAAACCAGTGCCCTTATGGGATACCGGCGCTTCAGGCCAGGGCATTAACCCGCTGAACCACAGCACCGACCCCCTGGTATCTTTTCTTAGCTGAACCTTGTATATGCTCAAGAGACAAGTATGCATGATGCCACGGAAGAACCGTTATGATGTAATAGGTATGTGGCTTTGGAGATATTTCATTTAAGTTTATGAGGCAGGAGCAAAACTGTAAAGTATACTTGAGCACATAAATATTAGATATTGTTTCTATAAAAGAAAAACCCAACACGATATTTTTTCCCCTTTATTTCAGACATGAGGAAGTGGAGACCCTAGGAAAACCATTGACTTGAAATTATTCAGTTCTGTTCTTGCCCAATTTGCAGCAGTAACAAAAGAACATGAAAAGCATTTTCTAGTCCTGACACAAGGACAGGTACCTATGATATCTGCATCCTAAATGAAATAGAACTGACAGTGAAAAAGCATCTCTGTTTTCCACTCCCACTCTGAGTGGTACATTGTAATATATTCTCCCCAGCTCTTAGGAAATGTATTTTCTTTTTAATACAAGGAAAAATGTGACTGGACAGGTAATGAATCTCAGGGGGAAAAATCATGGCATTAGCATTCTCTTAAAAGTCACTGAGGATATTATGAGAAAAAGATTTTTATTTTTGTGAACAGAGTGTATCTAATATTCATCGAGAACTTAGAAATACAGCCCTGGTGCCTGATGAGATAAATGTATTTATAAATGACTCTTACATGCACTGAACACAATTAAAATACCACCAAGTCCATCTACATTCTCCAAAAAAGTCCCGCTTTTTAGAATCCAACACATTAACTTCTCTGAAAAAGATAACTGGACAGATTTAGACAAACTCAATGCCTAGGTAATGAATAATTACTCACACCATATATTTATCGGGAATTAGATCCAAACACATTGTACCTAACCCACCAGCTGCCAAGAGTGACTGACATATTTGGTAATTATAATACAATTTTGAAGGGAATACATTACCAGTTTGACATCTGGAAACAGGAAATCTAAATACTTAATGCAAGTCTCTAGTGAAGATGTGTCTCAATTCGCATTTGTATCATGCCTTCTTCATGCCATTTTTAAAGTCACTTTCCATTTTTAAAAGCAGCCTTGCTGAATCTGCTGTCACTGCAGTTGGTTTCCCGTGGGGTCATAAATGATGCTAATACAGCTGGCCTAATGTGTAGCAGATCCCATGGTCAAGGGCTGAAATAATAAATAATAATGTACCCAGGAGAATTTTTAAAATAAAAAATATTTGATTAGGTCATTTTTCTAATTCCTATTTGTTAAGGGAGCTTTGATGTACTTCTTTCTTTCTTTATGTGAAAACCTAGTTACAGAGAATGGGAGACAGAAAGAGACAGAGATCTTCCATCTGTTCATTCACTCCCCAAATGGCCATAAGGGCTGAACTGGGCCAAGCAGCAGCCAGGAGGCAGGAACTCCATCGGGGTCTCCCATACAGTGGCAGGAGCCCAGGTACATACCCCATCTGTTGCTGCTTCCCCAGGTGCATTAACAGGAAGCTGGATTGGAAATGGAGCATCCAGGACTTGAACTGGTGCTCTGATTTGAGAAACCAATGTAGCAAATGGTTGCTTAGCCCACCGCACCATAACATCATTTATCAGCCTCTGATATACTTCTTTTAAAAAAACAAAAAAGGATTTATTTATTTATTTATTTATTTATTTATTTGAAAGACTTAGAAAGAGAGGGAAAGAGAGAGAGAGATATCTTCCATCCACTAGTTCACTCCCCACATGGCCTCAACAGCAGGGGCTGGACTGATCTGAAGCCAGGAGTCAGCTTCTTTGAGGTCTCACATGCCCAACTTAGAACATAAAGTGAACAGAAACAATATAAATTGCAGAACTCTGGTCCACTGGGGCCATATATCTAAAGGAATTTGATATTATTTCTATTTTGTGTCTGCATCTTATTGCAATTTAATGCATAAGGAACACAGACACAATCAGCCATTTATTCTAATGAGCATTTTTATGACGCTCCTAATTTTTAACGAGACTAATTTCTAATGTTCCTGTCTCTGCATTTTAAGATGCCAAATTGGATATTGTTAAGATTAGAGAAAGAAATGGCAATGTTGAGTTTTTATGATAGACACCTGTCCCAGAATTTCTTTGTACAAACTTTTGTTAGTTAGTGTATTTTATTAAAATCCCAAAAATTATTCCCTAGGGAACGTTTGGTTTTTCAAACTCTAACTAGAGAACAACTTAAAACCAAAGTTTTAGTTCAAGTACATTTTCTATTTTATTTTATTAAAAAGTAATGTAAGGTTCTTTGTTGTCAGGGAACTGCAGAGAACAATAGCAGAGACGTGCAGAATCATGATTAGCAGCAAATGTTTAAGATGGCATCAACAGAGAAAGTTTCATTCCCTAGAATGCTAAATGAGTATACCAGTGTGAATGTTTGAAAAACTCGTTTACCTCAATAAAGCCTGTTGGGGCTGAAATTCCAAACAGTTTGCTGAATTAGGAAAAGATTATTAAATTGCTGTTTGCGTCATGGAACATCATAGCTTCTCAAGGTCCTTTTACACTTTTCTAAGTGCATACAGGGACTAGGACCAACAAATCTGGACTAGCAGCAAGCAGGAAGTAAGATTTCAGCATGGTAGCGGAGAGATTATTGGGAAAGGACGAATTGGAAGCCTGGAAGGAAAAGGTAAGAAACACCCTTTGAGGACACAAGCTAAGGGCTTTGGAGTAATAAAAATGTTTACTAGGATGCATAATTAAAAAAACCGTTTTCTGTTCTCTTTACACATTCTTCAGTCAGTAGTACATTCCTCTCTAGCACTGCTCTGCTACACTTATGGAGGCCTTAGGGAAATATCTCAGAGGTCTTAGTTGCATCTGGTTAGCCACAGAAACAAACAGAAACAGCACATGGACCCCTCAAGCAATGATTAGAGAGGGCTGTCATCTGGGTCACATAAGGAGGTCCAACATAGCAATGCAGGAGAGCAAGATGAGGCTGCAAGAATATTCGTCACAGCTATTGTTTCTCTCTTCTTCCACTTTGTTGTTTTTCATTAAGCCATTTTCCTGATCATTTGCAGTCACCAAACTAGGTCTATATGCTTCATAATCAAGAACTCAAATGCACTATGTCTGTGTATAAAATCTCCTATTCCATTCTTTGTTCTAGAATAAAGTTTTCTAAAATATAGTCACAGAAAGTGAGTCTCTGAAATGCAAATAGCTCTGAGATAGTGAAATATATTTAAACATTACGGTGAAGTGGTTTCTTCATGGCATGACTTTTCAGATCATCTGTGTTAAAATGAGCCATGAGCATCATAGAGGAGGCCATAGTGTATTTTCCTAAACTTGATCTCAGTATCCTTTTCTCCCTTACGATCTCTTGGAACTGATGTTGAAAGGAATCATTTTTGAGAAGCATTGCTAAAAGGAAAAATAATGCTACCTTTCTGTATATTATAATGCTTGAACAAAAGTACATCTAGCGCTCATATCTTTCAGGACAATAAAAGCTAATACTTGTTCTTTTTTTAAAATATTTATTTATTTATTTGAAAGAGTTACACAAAGAGAGGAGAGGCAGAGAGAGAGAGAGAGAGAAAGTCTACCACCCACTGGTTCACTCCCCAAAAGAGCTGATCTCTTGAAGCGGAGAAGCTGGGTCTCAAACCGGTGCCCATATGGGATGCCGGTGCTTCAGGCCAGGGTATTAACCCACTGCGCCACAGTGCTGGCCCCAGTTAGTTCTTCTCGTTACACATGTGGGTATATGACACTTATATTTCTTTTTTGCTGTTGTTGTTGTTGGACTTTTTTCCTTTAATAAGATAATATGATAAATAAAACCTGCTTCTGTATAGCTATTTAATATTTTGGAAATACATACATGTTACATGCCAAGAAAGGACCCTGTTTTTTTTGTAAGAAACAAGGTGACATTGTAATAAAATCACAAATGCACAACTAACTATAGTTCTGTACCTACACTGTTAGCCATGTTTAACATGATTCTGGAGTAGCAGGAACCAATAGAACGCACAAATCCCCTCTGCCCCAAAAACTGAATGAAAACACAGTCAGCTTTTTTTAAACCAGTGACCACATAGTAAAAACTGTACATCATTGTCCATTCATGAAAAAGCAAAGTCACTAGGGTGGTATAAAAGTGATAACCGGTGCATTGAAATTTCTGATGATGAATGCTTTTGCTCAAAGTTTGCAAAATTATCTCCACTCTCTCTGCACAACCAGGAACGCAATGCAGAAGACAACGAGGAGGTAGGGCTGCAGCCAGGGATGGCGCCAGCACTGTCAGCACTCTTCCCAGTGTGGTCAATGGCATTGTACTCAAACTCCTAAGGACACTTATATTTCATGCCACTTGACCAAGACAACAAGAGGGTTCTTTGGCTTATGTAGATCAGTAGTTTTCAAGTTTCTTTGTGAGGTTTGAGATGTCTTAGCCTTGAATATAAAAGCCTAAAGCAGGACTCAAATGCAACAGAGCAAAACTAGAAACACTCAGAATTGGATCCAAAATCTTGGTTGATGCTGGAGTTCTCTACTATATAATTTTATTTATTTTAATTTTTTAATCGATTTTATTTCAACAGATAGAGACAGTGAAAGAGAGAGACAGAGAGAAAGGTCTTCCCTCCGTTGGTTCACTCCCCAAATGGCCGCTATGGCCAGAGCTACGCCGATTCGAAGCCAGGAGCCAGGTTCTTCTTCCTGGTCTCCCATGCGGGTGCAGGGGCCCAAGCACTTGGGCCATCCTCCACTGCCTTCCCGGGCCACAGCAGAGAATTGGACCAGAAGAGGAGCAACCGAGACTAGAACCCGGCGCCCATATGGGATGCCAGTGCCACAGGCGGAGAATTAACTAAGTGAGCCACGGCGCCAGCCCCTTAATTTTTAATCATCATGTAATTGCTGTGATTTTTATGGAGTACAGACACACAGACACAGCATAATCTGATCATATCAGACAATTAACCTTTCAATTTTCTTGTCTTGTCTTTGTCTGTGGAGCCTACCAGATTCTCTATTATAATTCTTTATAAAGAATGTAACACATTATTGTGGATTTCAGTTACCCCACTTTGCTGCAGAACAGCAGACCCATTATCTTCATACAGCTGCTTTTGGTATTCATTATATAATCTCTCTCCATCCATGTTCCTACAATCTTCCCAGTCACACTATGCTAAATTCACATTGACTATCTACATTTAACTTCCACATAAGAGAGAAAGCATGCAGCATTCCTCTTTTTGTGTTTGGCTTATTTCGTTTAATGCGTGGAACTTAAGATCATTACATTAAGTGAAATACCACCATTCTAATTTCAAATTGTTATGACCTGATGATTCCCAAGACACCTGAAAGTTCCTTATATTAGAAGGCGGAGTTATAGCAAAGACCCATCAGCATGGGGTTGAAATTGAGGAAGTCAAATAGACTTGTGGGAACGGTTTTCTTAGTACATACCTATCACCATCTATAAGGACATGAGAATATTTGGTTTTAGCTACTATTATCTTATGAAGCGTAGCAAAACCCCATCCCACATACCCACCAACTTATTGGTTTGCTAGGAAACAGGAAGGTTCAACAGGAGCTGCCAATACATAGTCTTTTTTTGAGTTTTATACAGATGCATGGTTAACATTCATTTTACATGTACACACACACACACACACTCTGGCTGTTCTATAAAATCAGAATCAAAATGCAGTGAGCGTGGCTAAAAGCTAATTGCAGATCTCTTGCGTCTGTGCATATTAGCTTTGCTTGCTAATATCTGAGGGTGTATCCTGTGAAACTATGTGGACCCAAATTCCCAGGAACTAGGTTGGCCGAAATGTGTCCCTCACTGTTATCTTACCACCATATCTTGGATCTGTTACTGGGTTTGTTATTGTTAACTGTTATCTTGCAACCATATTCTGGTTTTCCTCTTTATTGTTCACTGCATACCAGGGGTCTGGTTTGAAATTGTGAGCCCTAGTGGATAGAATATTATAAAAAGTTAGGTAACCTGCTGTTGGGGGCCGCACACTGGTGAGGAGTGTTGGTCCTGATCGGTGGCCGGTCCCGATTGGTTACCTTGCCTCTCATTTGTCTTTCATTTGCTTCTCATTTTCAATAAAATTCATGCGTGACTGTCACTGGTTTTTGTAACATTTTATTTTAGTTGACGAGTTCTTCCCCATCCTGTTGATATAGGAGCCACTGCAAAGCATTAAAGATGAATCATTATATGATTACTATATTATTATGGGAGGGAAGAACAAAGCCTTTTAAAGAAGTTAAGAGTCTGCCTGAATTTGAACTTTGTGTTGGTTTCTAATATTGTGATCTGGACAACTTTCCTTCATCATAGTTTGTTCATCCATAAAAAGAGATTTGCTGTAAATAATAAAGAGATGAGGAATGTTTTCTAGAACATGTTACTCCAAAAGCCTACACTGAGAAAAACATTCAAATGTCAGTCATTTATTTTGAAAGTTATTCCATAAAACAGCAAGGGAGTAGGAGACTGAACCAGCGAAGGGAAAGACAAAATTTAAGAGCATGTTGTCAGGGAAGTTATTGCTTTGGTTAACTGAAATTCAATCCCAATTGGGCTGTGGGAGACCATAATAAATACAGCCAAGTAATTCTGACTGAAGGCAAGGATGCAGAACATTATTGACCCATTCTTTATATTATTGGCTAAAGGTTACATTATGGGAATTAAATCTTAAGAACTTATGCCTGTACCAAATGTGTGCCTACGACTGGGACCTTGTAGCCAGAAGGGAAACCCTCAAGTTCAGAGAGTCAGAGATGTTCTCTGAAAGCAGACTTTGGTTGGAAGAGGAGAATGCTGATTTAGATTCTCTGCAACACATAAAATGTGCAGAACTGTGCCTTGAAAATATTGAGCCCATTAATATCTAAATCTTATGGTTATTTTCCATTTTAAATGTGAATGAATTATATTATTTAAAAATTAATGTGCTGGTCTTTGACTCCAAACATGATACAAGTTTCTCAGAAATTCTTGACACTTATTTCTGACTGCAGATGCCTCTCTACTTACAATTGTGACACACTCATATATACTCATCAGCAACTGAAAATAAATAGTTATATACCTAACCTACTTTGCATCATAGCTTAGCAACATAGTGCACTGTAGAGTACCAGTGGTTCACCATTAGGATCATGTGACAAACTAGGAGCTGATGCTCAGTGCTGCTTGCCTAGCATCTTGAGAGAGTATAGTACTGCATATAGCTAGCCCATGAGAAAAGAAGAATCCAAAGTTCAAAGTAAGGCTTCTATGGGATAGGTTTTACCGTTTTACCTTCATAAAACATAAAAGTATTAAGTAGAGTCACTAGGAGTTGAGTGCCTATACTTGCATGTGCTGCAAATGTAACTGGGGTTGCAAGGCTTCTGTGTTATTTAATCAACAGCTTGTCAAAAGTGGGCTTTTACATAGATTCATCAGTAAAGAAAGAAGCCACATTTATAATCCAGAAAATTTTCTTCCTGCTACAAAAAGCCAGAGAAAAAATTATGAAAGAAGCCCTCTTTAAGAACTCAGAATATGGAATGCTGGCACTGCAGGCAGCAGCTTTACCTGCTATGACACAGTGCCAGGCCCTGAATTGATTTTTTTTAAGATAACATATTTTTCCTTTTAGAAGGTCGCCATAAATACTATTAAATAAACATTGCTTTATGTTTGAAGTTACTATTAAATGGTTGGTTGGGAATAATTTTTATTAATGAAATAAAACAGCTTGGGAACTGTACATATATGATTCTGATTTTAAGAAGTGGTACTCAATCAAGCAGGAATAGGAGAAGAACGTCTGCCCTTGCTGCATTTAATAAATACTGTACTAGAGGTTCTAATTAAGGCAATTAGATAAAAAAAATACTTAAATGAAAATCATCCAGATGGAAAAGGAAGAAGTGAAACTACTTCTACTTACAAATTATTTGAACTTGTATGTGGAAAGACTAATACATATACATACACTATTAGAGATAATAAATATTCTAAGGTTGCAGGATAAATTACCAATATACAAAACTCAATACATTTAACAAAAGAAATGTAAAACTAGCACACCAAAGACAACAAAACATCATTGAAAAATAGAGAAAAACTAAGAAAAACTCATTTTCATGGATTGGAAAACTGTTACTATTTATTACTTTAACATGGCAATACTCCACAAATTGATCTACTACCTCTTTAAAAATCATAGCTGTGGGGACTGGCACTGTGGCATAAGTTAAGCCTCTGCCTGCTGTGCTGGCATCCCAATTGGGTGCTGGTTCAAGTCCTGGCTGTTCCTCTTCTGATCCAACTCCCTACTGATATGCCTGGGAAAAACAGCAGAAGATGGCCCAAGTATTTGGGCCCCTACACTCATGTGGGAGACTCAGAAGAAGATCCTGGCTCTTGGCTTATGCCTATCCTAGCCCTGGCCATTGTGGCCATTTGGGGAATAAACCAATGGATGGAAAAATCTCCCTCTCTTTTTCTCTCTCCCCTTCTCTCTCTTTATCTCTGCTTTTCAAATAAAAATAAATTTTAAAATCATAGATCTGTTATTTCTACAAATTGACCAGCTTATCTCAAAATCATATGGAAATGCAAAGGACCAAGAATAGACAAACAATCTTGAAAAGATGAACAAAGTGAGAGGACTCATGTTTCCTGACATCAAAACTATTACAGTAATGAAGAGTATTCTACTTAGCTTACGGTAGACAGATAGAGCACCAGCATAAATTGGGAGTCAAGAAAGAAACCAAAGCATTTATGGTGAATTTATTTTCAGCAACAGTGTCAAGACAATTCATTGAGGAAAGAATTGTCTTTTCAATATATATGCTTCTTAATTACATGCAAAACAAGGAAGTCACCATGAAGCCCTCAAATGAAAAAGACACCCCAATTCGAGATTATGAGGATGATGACATAGAAGAAATGCAAGAAGCAGATCTCAAAAAATTGATAAGAACATTAAGAAGTTCTCAAAAACAAATTCTTGAACTACAGAAATCCTTAATGGACAAGATAGAAAATCTCTCTCGTGAAAATGAAATATTAAGGAGGAATCAAAATGAAACGAAACAACTAGTACAACAGGAAACTGGGATAGTGACTGAAGTGAAGAATTCAATAGATCAAATGAAAAACACAATAGAGAGCCTTACAAACAGAATGGGTGAAGCAGAAGAGAGAATATCGGACTTAGAAGACAGAGAACAGGAAAGGATACAGTCAGACAAAAGAAAAGAATAGGAAATTAGAAATCTAAAACATATTGTTGGGAATCTTCAGGATACTATTAAAAAACCCAACATTCGGGTTCTAGGAGTTCCTGAAGGCATGGAGAGGGAGAAAGGATTAGAAGGCCTTTTTAGTGAGATATTAGCAGAAAATTTCCCAGGTTTGGAGAAGGACAGAGAAATCCTAGTACAGGAAGCTCACAGAACCCCTAATAAACACGACCAAAAGAGATCCTCACCACGACACGTTGTAATTAAACTCTCCACAGTGAAACATAAAGAAAAGAGCCTAAAATGTGCAAGAGAGAAACGTCAGATTACTCTCAGAGGATCTCCAATCAGACTCACAGCTGACTTCTCATCAGAAACCCTACAAGCTAGGAGGGAATGGCGAGATATAGCCCAGGTACTAAGAGAGAACAACTGCCAGCCCAGAATATTATATCCTGCAAAGCTATCATTTGTGAATGAAGGTGAAATAAAGACTTTTCATAGCAAACAGAAAAAATAAACAAAATTGACACCCCATTGGCCCAACTAACTAAAAAAGAAGAGAAAAGACCCAAATCAATAAAATCAGAGATGAAAAAGGAAACGTAACAGCAGACACCACAGAAATAAAAAGAATCATCAGAAATTAATACAAGGACTTGTATGCCAGCAAACAGGGAAACCTATCAGAAATGGATAGATTCCTGGACACATGCAAACTACCTAAATTGAACCAGGAAGACATCGAAAACCTAAACAGACCCATAACTGACACAGAAATTGAAACAGTAATAAAGGCCCTCCCAACAAAGAAAAGCCCAGGACCAGATGGATTCACTGCTGAATTCTACCAGACATTTAAAGAAGAACTAACTCCAATTCTCCTCAAACTATTCAGAACAATCGAAGAAGAGGGAATCCTCCCAAATTCTTTCTATGAAGCCAGCATCACCTTAATTCCTAAGCCGGAAAAAGATGCAGCACTAAAAGAGAATTACAGACCAATATCCCTAATGAACATAGATGCAAAAATCCTCAATAAAATTCTCACCAATAGAATGCAACAACACATCAGAAAGATCATCCACCCAGACCAATTGGGATTTATCCCTGGTATGCAGGGATGGTTTAACGTGCGCAAGACAATCAATGTGATACACCACGTTAACAGACTGCAGAAGAAAAACCATATGATTATCTCAATAGATGCCGAGAAAGCATTTGATAAAATACAACACCCGTTCATGATGAAAACTCTAAGCAAACTGGGTTTGGAAGGAACATTCCTCAATACAATCAAAGCAATCTATGAAAAACCCACAGCCAACATCCTATTGAATGGGGAAAAGTTGGAAGCATTTCCACTGAGATCTGGTACCAGACAGGGATGTCCACTCTCACCACTGCTATTCAATATAGTTCTGGAGGTTCTAGCCAGAGCTATTAGGCAAGAAAAAGAAATTAAAGGGATACAAATTGGGAAGGAAGAACTCAAACTATCCCTCTTTGCAGATGACATGATTCTTTATTTAGGGGACCCAAAGAACTCTACTAAGAGACTATTGGAACTCATAGAAGAGTTTGGCAAAGTAGCAGGGTATAAAATCAATGCACAAAAATCAACAGCCTTTGTATACACAGACAATGCCATGGCTGAGGAAGAACTTCTAAGATCAATCCCATTCACAATAGCTACAAAAACAATCAAATACCTTGGAATAAACTTAACCAAGGACGTTAAAGATCTCTACGATGAAAATTACAAAACCTTAAAGAAAGAAATAGAAGAGGATACCAAGAAATGGAAAAATCTTCCATGCTCATGGATTGGAAGAATCAATATCATCAAAATGTCCATTCTCCCAAAAGCAATTTATAAATTCAATGCAATACCAATCAAGATACCAAAGACCTTCTTCTCAGATCTGGAAAAATTGGTGCTGAAATTTATATGGAGGCACAAGAGACCTCGAATAGCTAAAGCAATCTTGTACAACAAAAACAAAGCCGGAGGCATCACAATACCATATTTCAGGACATACTACAGGGCAGTTGTAATCAAAACAGCATGGTACTGGTACAGAAACAGATGGATAGACCAATGGAACAGAATTGAAACACCAGAAATCAACCCAAACATCTACAGCCAACTTATATTTGATCAAGGATCTAAAACTAATTCCTGGAGCAAGGACAGTCTATTCAATAAATGGTGCTGGGAAAATTGGATTTCCACGTGCAGAAGCATGAAGCAAGACCCCTACCTTACGCCTTACACAAAAATCCACTCAACATGGATTAAAGACCTAAATCTACGACCTGACACCATCAAGTTACTAGAGAACATTGGAGAAACCCTTCAAGATATTGGCACAGGCAAAGAGTTTCTGGAAAAGACCCGGGAGGCACAGGAAGTCAAAGCCAAAATTAACTATTGGGATTGCATCTAATTGAGAAGTTTCTGTACTGCAAAAGAAACAGTCAGGAGAGTGAAGAGACAACCAACAGAATGGGAAAAAATATTTGCAAACTATGCAACAGATAAAGGGTTAATAACCAGAATCTACAAAGAGATCAAGAAACTCCACAAAAACAAAACAAACAACCCACTTAAGAGATGGGCCAAGGACCTCAATAGACATTTTTCAAAAGAGGAAATCCAAATGGCCAACAGGCACATGAAAAAATGTTCAAGGTCATTAGCAATCAGGGAAATGCAAATCAAAACCACAATGAGGTTTCACCTCACCCCGGTTAGAATGGCTCACATGCAGAAATCTACCAACAACAGATGCTGGAGAGGATGTGGGGAAAAAGGGACACTAACCCACTGTTGGTGGAATGCAAACTGGTCAAGCCA